TGCTTTATCCGTGTCTCTATCTCTGTTTGCCCAGTACAGTAGTAAGGAGGCATTTTATGAATAATTTATGAATGAATCAGCCCTGCCCACACCTCAAACCAACCATCAGTCATGTAAAGCTGAGTGAGAACCAACCCGGCTCTCCTAGGAATGTACAACCCAAGGGTGGAGCTAAGAAACCTACCTAAATAACTTGTGGCAAGCAAGCACAAGTGTTACATATATAATAGACACATGCACCCCTACACACACCCACACACACACACTAGTGTGTAAAAATAGGAGTGGAGAATCATTTTCAGGCGGGGAGTTCTGGGAAGGTTTCATAGAAGGGGAAAAAAAAATGAATGATGTTCATTGGTTGAAGGTCAGATTTCATTCAATAGTTTGTAATCATCTCATTTAATTCCCACTTAACCCTCCAAGGGAGGTATTTTTTTTTACCCCATTTTATAGGTAAGGAAATTGGGGATCGGAGAGGATAAATAATGTGGCCAAGGTCATACAGCGAGCAAGTCATCCAAGTGGCAGTCACACTCCCAGGGGTTTGCTCCCAAAGCTCAGGCTGCTGTTTCTACACCAGATCTCCTCCCGCCCTCCCCGCCCCCAGCAGATAAAAACACAGTGATGACACCTGAGCTCAGCCTTCACAACTACCTCAGATCCCAGGGGCCTGTCTGGAGGGTGGGCAGGGGCCTTCCAGGTGCCGGCAGCCACAGGGAGATGGGAAGTTTAAACCGAGTGGGGAAAGGCAGGCTGCCTTAACTGCGCACCGGCCATGTGCCGTGGAGAGGTTTGGGAAGAAAAAGCCAGCGAGCAGTTCTCCATCTTCCCTGTGACATGCTTGGAACAGACGGTAAAGTGCTTTTCTTACCTACTTAAATAAATGAATATTATATGTAAAACATTTTGAAGGTATTTAAAATTACTGTTTTATAACAATAACCTTGACCCTCAATTACAAATATCCAATAATGCAAACTATGTTAGTGAAAGGCTGACTCTCTCTACCTTTCCTATTCCTCCAGCCTCCTTTGTTTTTCTCTCTGTAAAGATGTGATCTGGAGATTTAAACCATAAGACTGAAGACTAGAGGAAACTAAATACCATTAATTTACTTAGATAAATAACAAATGTCCTATCATGCCAACTGACACGTAAGTCTTTTCAAATGAGAATTTTAATATTATATAACTGGGCTGACTTAAATATTTCAAGTTTAAAAATTGGGTGTGAGGTATGGTGCCAAGTGGGTACTGGAAATATCAGAGGGACCACTCGGTAAAGTACATAACTGTCTAACCGCTACATTGCACACCTGAAACTAATACAAAATAGTGATTGTAAACTGTAATTGAAAAAAAGAAAAATCCTGAGGGTGAGATAAATAAAATATTACAGCCTACAGTGATATAATAATATGTTAGGGACCAGTCACCATGACCTCACCCAAATAAAAGAAGATAAAAGGGCCCGGGCGGCGGGGGCGGGGCGGGGCACGCATAGCTAAATGTTTCATAAATTATCAATAAATATCCAGCAATACTAGTTGCTCCTACAGAAAACACCTTTCACCTGTGGTCCCGGCTGCACTAAGAGTTTAAACTGTAGGTTCTTCTACGTTGGCACAGCCTCCGGCCACAGGGAAGGAGGGAGGCTCTCTCCGGGCAAGGCAAGGGGTGCGGGACGGCTGTGATTTTCAGGGCAGCCGCAGCAGTTGTCAGACTTAAAATCACCAGGACAGAACAGCGCTGCCTCCCAAGTGTCTCATGTACAGTTGCCTCTTGCAGGGCCCCTGGCTCACTGCACCCCGGATGATGCGGGTGACAGAGCAGAGGCTGACTAATGACCCAGATCCTGGAGGTCTCTGCAACTAACTGGAACAGCTGAAATGAGGGCTACCGAAACGAAACGTTACTACCTGATTTATAATTTCCTGAGCATTATGTAGACAAGGGAGAGACTGCGGAAGGATGCTGTCATCACTGTTCACAGCACAGAAGGAGGGCTTGCTTTTTAGAACCAAGGATTCTTTCCACAAGGAAAAAAGTAAAGTGAAATCACTGTATTAACTATACTGATATTTCAGCTTCCCCTATATGTTTTTAAACATTCAATTTGATTTTTTTTCCTGGAGTCACACTTCGATGGGGAGGGCAGTCCCTCCTTCTCTTATCCCCCTACCCTCCCCCACCCCTCTTTTCCCCAGCGCTCCCTGTCTGCCACTCTCACGTTCCTACCCCTTTCCCGCCTCCCTCTTCCTTTCTTTCATCTCTTGCCCCTCCATTCCCCTCTGGCTCTTCACTCCTTTCTCCCCATCAACTACCCCCATTCTCTCCTCCTCGTTCTTTACTCCACCCTTTTTCTCCTCAACCCCTCTCCTCCCCCTTCTTCCTCCCACTGAAACATGTAAAAAGCAGTTTTAGTCCATCCTGGTTTATCTTGAGTAATGCAATCCTGGCCTCAACTTTGCCTAAGGATCCAGGCCAGGAACAGTAGCTTATGCAAAGCTGACTGGAACATGACTTTTAACTGCTGAGTCACATAACTGAATTTAACCCGCAATAATGGCAGAATGGCACCTCAAAAGAGCTGGGTCTGATCACATCCCAAGTGAGAACACGGGATAGTAAGGGAAGGAGAGCAAGATGCCCCAAAGGAGCATCGACCCAAGACCATCTCAGTCTGGAAAAGGTGCTGCTCCCCCAAGACTGCCCTCTCCAGAGCGCCGAGGATTCCGGAGTCAGTTACCAGGAGGATGCCCAGTCAGCTGGCTTAGTCTTGGACCATAAGCATGTCAGAAAACGTGAGCAGGCAATTATGTTAGGCACCAGCTGATTTTTGGTGGACAATCTTAAAAGCCAGCAGTGTGACCATCCTATGGCGGGCGGGGGTGGGGGCTCTCCCCCAATGCCACTTTGCTATTTTAATGAGAGCCTTAATATCAAATTGCCTAGCAAAAAGGAATCTGCAAGGATTTTGTGTAAGGAAAACATGGCCCTGGATTCTGATAACAGAGACCTGGTTTGGGGTTTTTTTTTTCCCCACTCTTTCCAGGGATGGGGGAAGTTGCAACATTTTTTCACCCTCTTTAGATAAAGGATGTCTGAAAGTGAGCGCTGGCACCAGCTGGTGAGAGAGGAAAGAAAGCAGCACAGGCAGTAGCCACAGGCTTTGACTCCAGTTTTGACTTTCTGGCTGTGAAACTGCGGACTAGCGCCAACTCATCAGTGAAATGGAGATATTGTGACCTACATGCTGGGGTTGCGATGGGACTAAGGAAGGTATCCCTGTGGCATGCCCGGTACGTAATAGGACCCCAATAAATGCCAGCCCTCCCAGCCCCCACCGAAACGTTGCTACTTTTACCTAAGCAGGATTAATTTTGCTCATTCCCAATTTCATAGTTGGTGTTCAGATAAACAGCAACCAACTACTTGTCCAAAAACTTGTCTAAGTCCGTAAAACTTATCTGGTGAAAGCCACTTTTTGAATTAGTAGGTGCCTTTTCATGTTTCTTTTTTTCAGTAAAGCCCATATAGTTTTTCAATTTGGCTAATTTTAACTTGTGTGGGACAATTTTGTAATGGACTAGGTAAGATTCATTAATTTCGCAAAGCAAATTGGAGCTGTAAATATACATTAAGCTAACTATATTAAGCTAATGTATACGGAGTACTATTTTCCAAGTATTGGGCTAAGCATTTTATATAAATTTAAATGCATTTCTATCTCATTTAAACCTAACAATTCTATAAGACAGATACTATAATTATCCCCATTTTACAGATGAAGAAACTAAGGCAAAGGGTAAATAACCAGGGTGACATAGTGAAGGGTAGAGCTCAGTCATAGCCAAGAACAGAGAGGGTGCCCCAGCCTTACACTATAGAAACTGCATTCTCTTTTCAAAACGGTGCTGACTCACATCTTTACATCATTCAGAAAGACTTCAAATATTCAAATGAAAGAATTTTGGCCATCTCCCCATGTTCCAAATTCCCACCACTGAATTAGATTTTCAAAAACACCTCTTCTAGTTGCTGCATTTCAGAGAAGAATCTAAACCCATCAGCATATTCCTCAAGGAAAATGGAGATTTAATCAACTGCTTCCCTGAACTTAACCGGTCCTCCTTTAGTTATTTCTGGGTTTTTCTCCTGTCTCTCGTTTGTCTTAAATAACAGATATTTTATAATCGCCTCACATTTGTGAGGAGTCCCATGGAAGAGGCCGGACTATGTTTCCAGTAAATAACTAGGGAGAAGAGAAAGACATAGCCACGCTTCCGACTCAATTCACAAAAACTCCACAAGAGGACATATAAAACAAAATACACTAATTCCATTGATAACTTTCCTAAAGTTGTAATGGTAACAGACAAGAGCCGCCTCCCCTTTACGTAGGACTGTGTGGGGAACCTGGTGAATCTGCTTGCACGCGCTCATCTGCCCACCTGCCCGCCCCTAAAAGGAGCAGTTTTTTGAAGCGGGGGAATGGAGGTGAGTATTTCCAGTTCAGAGTGGATGGGCTCGCAGAATCCGAACTCCTTCAATGGCTAATGACAACTGGTTTATACAAAAGAAAGATGAAATCTAACAAGTCAACGCAGCAGCCCCTGCTGACGGTGAGGTGGGCGCCCCGTGGTCGGCGGGTAGCGACTGCTCACCATCACAGGGCGGATAGTCCCTCGCCAACTCACCTTCGCCGAGGCGTCCAACCCGGCTGCAGGCAGACCGAAATCCGACGACAATCACGGGCGTCACTCCCCACCTCCCGCTCCTGCGAGGGCACGCGAGGCGCCGCGCCGCACCTGTGCCCCAAGGGACGACCTTGGTCCAAGAGTCTACAGGAGGCGATGAGTAGCCAGAGGAGAGCTCCCAGCTAAGTGTGCCCACCTGGTGGCGCCCCTCCGGCTAATGAGACCCCAGTCGGGCTGGGGCGCCCCCTGCGCGTCCGACTCCGCGCCCCTACCTGGGGACGCCGGTCCGCAACCTCACCTCTCGCTGCATCCTCCTCTTCCGCCGCCATGGCAAGAGCCGCTGGGCCGTCTGAGCAGCCCCAGGGCTGGCAGCATGGAGCGCCTGGAGCCCACCCTGCGCCGGCGCAGGTGGCGACCGAGAGTGCGGGCTCGGGTACCCGCGGTGCTCTGCCAGGTGCCGCGGCGGCCGCCACTGCAGCCCTGGGCGCGCAGCCAGTGCCGACTCACTCCCTCGCTGGCCGGGGCTACCGAGCATGCGGACTGAGACTCCTTCGCCCGCCAGCCGGTCTGGGCGCCGTGGGGCTCCGGCTGGAGAAAGAGACCCGGCGCGGGGCGGAGTCACCGCGGGCACCGCCCCGCCGACCCCGGGGCCGGAGGCAAAGTGTCACCAGGCTGGTGCGGTAGCACTTAAGAGTCATTCTGGAAACCAGCCTATATAAAACAGGTCTCCAAGATCACTTCAAGATTCGTTGTCTCAGTGTTCCGAAGATTTGCAGTTGTTTCCCTTGGGAGAAATGGCAAACGGTGAATGGAGATCGTTGCGTGAGGAGGAAGGGATAGGGAACGGGTGCTGGGGGGTGGGGAGACTCAGCTGTCCCTTGCTCTTTTCTGCTTAGGGAAGAAGGGCTTAACTACAGAGACGGACGTGTAATGACCGAGGAAGTTGTGATTCTGAAACGATTGGGTAAATCCAGAAGCAAGGTCCTTTGTGGGATTTCTTTGACAGCCTTTCATCCTAAGTCGAAAATGCTGGTTCTCTCCTCGCCCACCGGCACCTAAACGGGTTCCGTGGTTACAGTTTATCTGGTAGAAGTAGTGGAGAGAAGAAAGGAACAGCAGAGAAAACAGTAAAGCTTTACTTCAACCAGCCTAAATCAATTAATTAATTATCTTACCGGTACTCTTTATGATAGCGTCTTAACTAGATGTTTATGTGTCCTGAAGGCTACTTAGAGGCTGAACCTGGGCGAGCGGGTTGGAGGTGTGCTCCCGGTCAGAAGTAGTCCGTCCGTATGGGAGAAAATTGTTGCTGTCTTAAATGGGGACCGAGATTACATGCTCCTGGAGGTAGAAGAAGGTGCTAACAACGGTGCCGCCTTTAATAAAACACGCCGACACATCCTAATCAAAAACATTCTTGAAACATCTCCATCCTAGCTTTGACTTGGAATTCTATCTGAAATCCATCTATACCAACTCCTGCTGGCAGCTCAGAAAGAAACATTCCAGAGAGCCTGGCAAATAGTTCTAACATCTGGTCTAGGGTTCCTTGCACGTATTCAAACGTTGGCTTTCCAGACAAGTGTACACTGTTTTAAGATGTTCCTTTCCAAGAAGGGGGGTTACTTTTAGACCTGGGCATATGTTAAATGACACCTTAATGGTAAAGCAGAACTGCTAGGATGAGGTTAAAATGTACGGTACAGACTTGTAGACACCGGTTGCTTACAAATCACCTTTGTGAGGTGATTCTAATAATTAGGCAAAGATTCAGAGATTATGATTATTTTGGCTAGGATCACTCAGTAGCTGGTAGAAGCCAGACGATAAAAATCAAATTTCCTTCCGAGTTCTTATCGTAGTGTCTGATAAGTTTGCCATGAACCATTGCAGTCCTTATTGCTAAGAAACAATGATTCACTTCCACCCAAAAGCCTGGAAGCAGAGACAAGGAATCCAGAACTTAAATGATAGGAAGAAATCTAACGTTCAAGAAGATACCAACCAGGTTCAGCACTCTCATAGGATTCCCCTTATTGTTCAAGTTTAAATCTTACTTGCTACTTTTTCTTTATGCTCTGGAGCTTTACTTTCTACATGATTTCTTTTCTTTTCTTTTTTTTTTAAGAGTAGTTCTACTATAAAGCATATGCTAAGACAGAGACCACACAATATCTTTACAGATGGATCTCTCATTTCCAACCAGTGGTATTCTCATATTTTCTCCTTGGGCAAAACGTAACAAAAGTGATTTGAAACATAAGCAGAATGCATGCATATATAGTCCTGGTCTATGTGATTTCCTTGCCAAAAGCCCAGGAACAGCTTTGCTCTTCAGGAATCATCACCAATCCTAAAGTGAACTTAGTTTGTTCATTAATTTTTGCTTCAGAGCAAGTACTCAGGCAAGAAAAATAATGGAATTATAATACACTGCCTTGTAAACTATAGATTCCTATACTTATCAATTTCCTGCAGGGATTATAATTTTGTTTAGGGTTCCTTTAAGGCCACTTAGGTATTTTTAGTTGGCTCAGGACAAAAAAAAAAAATTCACCTGCTTCACAGTGTAGGAAGATACTATGTATTTCCAATCATGCTCAAAAATACAAATAAATAACAACTACCTGTTAATGACCTCCTAAGTGATTGGAGAAAGTAGCTAAATTATTAATATTTACACTTTCCCACTTCCCCCAACCCACCCCCAGCATTCTATGAAGGGTGAATACTGGGGAGGATTCCTGGATTTGCTGAGCAGGTTGATGACGAGGAGCGCAATTGGGAGAAACAGAGAGGCCAAATGTGTTCGAAGCGATCAGCTTGAGCTTGGCCTATGAAGGGGAAAAGCAGAGAAGGTAATTGCAGGAGGGTCTATCATGAGAGAGGAAAGGTTGTGGTGGCAGCTGCCGTCAGGGAGGTGTTTAGGGAGCTTCACTGTGTAGTAGTGCAAATCCTCTTATTTTTCTAGAAAATAACAATTTAGCAAAAGCTACATTTCTTTTCAATGCTTTTAGGCTTGATTTATATTTTTATTAAAAGTGAAAACAGTGGTGGATTGAACAGCGACCTACAGACCAAAAGGCTGCAGGGTCAATTCCCAGTCAGGGCAATGCCTGGGTTGCAGACCAGCTGCCCAGTTGGGAGTGTGTGAGAGGCAACCAATTGATAATTCTCTTACACACTGATGTTTCTCTCCCTTCCTTTATCCCTCCCTTCCCCCCTCTCTAAAAATAAATATTTTTTAAAAGGTGAAAACATTTTGAGATTGGCCTTAGATGGAACGTAGAGCCACACACACAAAATGCAGCAATTTAATTCATTTGTTCACAAATACTTGTAGAGTGTGTACAATGTGCCAGGCACTGCTCTAACCACTGATTTTCGTATTTCACTTACTCTGCTTCCCTTACTTCACATAGATGTTCTCACAATAATCGATAAGGCAGCATTACCTTGTTTGGAGAAAGTCCAGCCAGTGGGAACCTTTTCCCCTTAGCTCAGTGGTTCCCAAAGTTGCATGTGCATGAGAATGTGCAGAATTTCAGACCCCCAAGGATTATAATTTAGTACGTCTGGGCACCTACTGAATCCTTATTTCAGATAAGCACTATGGTGGGTTTTGAAACAGTTGCTCCAAGTATTCCACTTTAGGTAGTAGTGCTCCACCTTGTCAAAGGTGAATTTTCTTAAGCTTAGGTTGTGGTAGTGGGTGAGTCATGTACGTGTGCTTTTTACCAGCCAGAGGGCAGTAGTAGCAATAAACTAAAATTCTGAGAAAAATACACGGAGGTATAAAACTTAGGACAAAGGACATACATCTCTTTTTATATGGAATTATTGCTTAAAGTTATTTTTCCATCAGAGATTGTGTGTGTGTGTGTGTGTGCGCGCGCGAGAGAGAGAGAGAGAGAGAGAGAGAGAGAGAGAGAGAGAGAGAGAGAGAGAGAGCGCTGAAGTAATTTCTTTTGCAGGTTTTGGACACTCAAAGCCGGCGTGGTGTCCCAGGTCCTCCTCAGTCCTTCCTGAGTTGTACAGAATTCCACAAGAGAGTTCTTCAAGTTCTGTTCATGGTTATCTTACCTACGAGGGCAATAAAGGCAAAAAAAAAAGTTTCCCTTTCCTTTTATGGGTTTCTCCCTTTGGAAGAAAGAGATTTAAAAGCCATCCTGTTTAGGGGGTGATAAGGAAAGCTTTACCTGGACAGGAAAGGAATTCAGAGATAACTTTGTGGTAGTTAATGCAAACTCACCTGAGAAACGTTTTGATTTCTATTAGTTAGAGCCTGCCGATCTTGTCCGACCAGAGGTGTCCACTTGTGGCCCCGCCTGCAGGCCGCATGCAGCCTGGGATGGCTATGAACGTGTCTCAATATAAAATCGTAATTTTACTTAAAACATATTTTTTGTGTGATTAGTTATTGCAATATTTTAGTGTGTGACCCAAGACAACTCTTCTTCCAGTGTGGTATAGAGATGCCGAAAGATTAGCACCCTAATATTAGGCAAAGCATGTGAGTCAACAGTCCTTAGGCCACCCCACCGGTCTGGGTCTTGGGGGAAGTAAGTTGATAAGGGCCACTATTATCGATGTAAAAGCTTTAGGGAGGAGATGGATCAATACAGAGATTACTAGGAGCTGGGAGGGGTGCCAAAAGACCAGTTTCCATCCTATATGATATCCAGAGACCTGCTTCTATTTCTTGTTTTCTGAAGGACAAGTAACCCGGGATCCTAGTCACTGAGCGGTGGTGCACCAGTGGCACGCGGTCCTCCTGTTTTAGATGGGTCAGGAAAGGCCTTAGTGGACCAGCCCTTCAGTTCACACACAGGCAACGGCGGAACCAGTACCAAAACCCAGGGGCAGTGGCTTCACATAAAACCATCACGATAAGCCCGTGTGGCACCTTTCTTTTTTTCAATCTTGGAAACTGTTAAAAGAACTCCAATTTTATTCTGGCATTGGGTGGTCATGTGCTTTGGGTGAAGGTCACCCAGGTACCAGGGATGTGAATTGATTAGTTTTAAGTCAATATCCAGTTATTAGTGTAGGAATGAACGGGTGGCATAATCATGGCCCATAAAATCCGGGGATTATTTTGCTTAGAATACTTCTGGAAAAGATTTTATTTGCTCTTTAAAAGAAAGGGGTATACAAGTAGTTCCCTTTTTAAGGACTTACATGGTGCATGAGGATTTAATGCTTTATCCCTGTAGACATCTAGCCTCTTGAGAAAACAAGATCAAGGATGACCATGTGAGCAACAGAAAGAACCTGCATCCCTGATGTTTCTGAGACGCTAAATTGACTCCCCCAGAAGCTCCCTATCTTGTGTCTTAGTGTTAAGTGAGACATTCATTTTCCTTATTATTGAATGTATTTTTACTTGGTCTTCTAACATGTGCTGTCAAAAGTACCCAAAGTGACGACTGTCACTAGCTCCCTGTGTATTTTTCTGAAAAGCATGAGGTAATCTGCCAATGAAGCATGCTCTATGATTTGAGTAGGAGCCCTGGACTTGGGTTCAAGAGCAATTTATTCCCAGTGTTTGGGTAAGTCACACTCGGCCTCACATTCATCATCTGTAAAATGATAGTTTTATGTTTATTTTAGAATATTAAAAGTGAAAATAAATAATGAAAGTGAAACCATTTTGTATACAAATGTAAGTGCTTTGTACCACAAGGTGCTTTCGAAAGAAGATAGATTTAGAGTCTCCAAGTTCACCCCCGTGTCCCAATGTGGACATCTGCCGCTGGTGCTGTTTTGCCTTCACCGCAGCCTTACTGAAGTGACGTCAGCCCGGGACAGTTGGGAGCACAGGTAGGAGGAGCAGAGTCCTGACTGGCTCCTTCTGAGCTCGGCAGAGACAGTATCTTCATTCTAAGTCTCTTTCATGGGACAGAATGCAGTGGTACCAGGGTACTTAGCCACTTATTGGTTTCCTTGCTATTTTGAGGCATTTTCAATTTAATTTTGAGACATTTTCAATTTCCATTGTGCTTGCTAACTGGTTTGGGCCCAGTGGGGTAGTTGTATATAAACCTGTACAACTATCTTGATTGTTTAAACATAACACAACTAAAACTTCGACTATTTATTTTGTTCTTGAGGTAGTCTGTAAGAGTAGAAGTTAGATATATTTACAAAATAGTCTTTCTTGAGTTTCGGGTAATACCTATCTCAAAACTCAAAAATGAAACCCAAAAAACCCTCACCAACAGAAATATTATAAACATAGTTTTTATTCTTTTCCTATCTTCAATGAAAAAGGCCCCGTGCCACCAAAACATTTTTTGAAACTCAGTAACTGAACACAGAACTCAAGAGGCTGATGATTATTTTTCTAGACAATCGATGAATAATTTATAGTTTTTTTGAAAAATAACTAAGATCTTTTTTATTTCATTTCTTTTTAAAGTAGTAATATTTCTATTTCCTTGTATTTTTATCATACAAATTAAAATATCTCTAGTAGTCCCAAGTGTCTTATATTTACATTTGTTCTAAGTGTTTGTTTCATATTAAAATTTCTCAGAAATAAGTGCACTTCTAAAGAGAAAATAAAATTTAAAGACAAGAGGAAATAAATTATGGTTGTAGCAAACAGTTAATTTGAATGTTCTGAATTTTAGCAATTCAAAGAGAGAATGTGTTTCGTAGCGAGGGACCTTTCTACTGATTAAAATTTCAATTCATTCATCTGTTGATCATCAAAAGATGGGTAGCTGTTTCTCTTACCAGTAGATACTGATTGGCTTGTTATCTAAGGGTTTTCTGCGATGAAACACCAAAAATAAACGTACTTAAAAAATATTTGAAAATTTACAGATTTACACAAAGATATACGCATCTTTAAAAAAAAAAAAACAGAAAAAGTGTGCATTTATAGCTATAAATGAAACCCTATTTTAGGAATTAGCAACCAAAGAAAGTTTTCAATATTCCACTTTTGTTATTTTTCCATTCAACTAAGAGCTTAGTAAATCAGGTACATATTTAATACAGAAGAGGTTGATTTATAAGAAATTCCTTATATTTGGACAGCACTATGCTTCAATAAATTTAAAGATTTAAAGCTAGGTTGATAAGAAAAGCATAAAAGAAAAATAACATAATTTGCTTTAATACAAAGTGTTTTTTAATAAAAAAGTCAAAGTCTACATTAAGTCAGGAAATCAATAAATCTGAATTATACAAGCTTTCTATATACTTAGAAAAACCAAAACACACCGTTTATAATAAAACTCTTTAATTCAAAATAGAGTCTAATTTAAAGAAAATGTCATTATGCCCAGTTGAGTAGATAGGGTTTTCTCATTTAAATTAAATGGTTCACCTGAAATATGGGAAATGTACAATAGAGAAAATTCAATCTCAAGAGTACTTCACAAATTATCTAGATAACTTACATCATGAATCAAATTCTTAGCTTCCAAAGGGCAGACACAGTCTTTAATTGCTTTTAGATAGGCACTTAAGAAATGCTTTTGATGAGGAGGAAACCCCAAACATTGTGAATCACTCTGTTAACTCCAGGAAAATATTAGACTCTAAACAAAGTAAACTCCCACAACTGCCTTTCAAGGCCAAGGAGTCATAACTATCTCCAGGTTCCACCTGTTAAAAAGAATGAGGGAGAAGGAAACTTAAAATGCTCTATTTCTTATTCAATTAAAAAGTAAATTTAGATAATTCAGTTCCTTTATCTCTCACTGTCAACTTGGACAGATGATATTTCTCTGTACTGGAACAGTTACCATATTAGAACTAGAGAATGTTGCAATTCCTCATATATGACCCATTCACTATGACGCTAGCAAAACAGTCCTTTAAGAAGGAAGCGGGGCAGGGGTGAGGTGGGGTGAGAAAGATGTCATAAAATCAAGCAGAAGTTAGATTTTTTTTTCAAATTAGAGGCAGTTATAATTAGAAAAACCTAGTTAGTAAAACTGAGATAACCCAGAATTTTAATAGTTCTCTCTTCTATCTGGCCACATGATCTGAACAAGAAAATGGAGGCGAACTATTAGAGGAACACAGAGTGAGTATCAAATACCAGAATGAAAGAATGAAAGGGAGGGAGGAAGGGAGGAACGGGAAAGAATTTGCGGGGGGGAGGGGGAGGAGGGGGTCCCCAGGATGGCCTTACTGAAACATTGTGGAACTACCTAGCAGCAACATTTATAACAACTTTTGTAGATTTGCATAATAATCCTTTGCAATTCTTCCCAATTAGGAAGAATATTCCTAAAAATAAATCATTTCAGATTTTGTTCACAGATCATTTGTAATGGTTAAAATTGTTATATATTTTTAAAATTTTAATCAATGGTTAAGACAAACATAAGGTCATTCTTTGATAAAATATTCCTTAACTAGAACTTAAGAAATTAAAATCGTAGACAGTCATTTTAGAATTAAAATGTTGTGCTAGAAAGACTATTTAATTCTTAGGGAAGTACCCAAAGAATTTGGCATCATCTCCCTTATCCTCTAATCACAACACCTCTGGCCTACATATATGTCCTTAATTCCATTTACAGTATCCACAGTGATGTAGCTAAACATGAACAATATTGCCCTTCAATAAGCTGATTTCTAGCAAAGATCTGTCATGTCTGAATACAGCATTCTTACCAGAAAGTGAAATTCTACTTCGTTGTGAACATCCACTCTGTTCAGGATCTTTGGTACATTTGGAGTATAAGAAAATAATGGCACAATAATACAAGTACTATCAAAGGAAAATTTTTCATTAAAAAAAATAAAAGTTAACCAGCCATGATATGTAACAACTTCCTAGAAAACCAAAGTAAATAGCTCTTTGTACTCTACAAGTCCATTTACATGATCAGAAGTTTGACATTTAAAAAAATAGTTTAATAAAAATACACTAGGTTCTACAAGCAGCCTTCATGGTCATTTCTTATATTCAACTCACCATAATCAAATTAAAATAATGCCATGTCCTCTTGTTAAAAAAGAAGTCCTCTTGTCACAAGAAAAGCAACTTTACATTTTATATAATATAGTACATCTCCCCTACGAGTACACAGACTAGGTATCTAAAAGTCATCAGTATTTCTGAAAGCAAAGTAATTATATTAGTGGAGTGCTTGAGTGAAGGTGTTAAACTTCCTTCTTGTTATAAACTTGTCACTCCCTACTGCGGAGTTTATGTTATAACATGATGATAAATTCTATTTTTTAAATAACCAGTGTATTTCCTTTTTAAAATTTCTTAATACCATTATAGACATTGTCTTCATATGTATTCTACAGATGTCCAAACCAGTAGGGCAAGTGTTCTAACACCAACTATGGAAGATGGCTTTTATTGATTATCTAGACCCATAAGATTTGCAGTAAAACAGCAATACTGCAGTGTTACCTACAGGTTAGCCTATGTTGCTTTAAATGATATGTTTCTCCTGAATTGATTAAAGGTGTTACAGTACAAAGCCACAGCACACACAGGCAGAATGGACCTTAATACGCATGTAGGCAGTGCAGTTAGAAAGGGATGTACATTTCTTTTATTCCAGTACCTTCGTATAATAAAGTTAACAAAAATAATAAAATATTAAAAAAAAAAAAAAAGCCAGCTGGCACTGCCAACCAATTCCTATAGCAGTCTCAGAAATCCTAATCCTGTAGAATTTCCTCTTGTAGGCATAAGCACCACCATCTTCGGGAGTATTTCAGTGTGTTGTTTCCTATGCCAAGCAAGCCTGGTGATGCAGCTACCTGAGTTCTCTTGGTTGTGGGTGAATGTGATCTTCATTCATAATTTCCCAGGTTTCATGTAGGTGGGGATAGAGCCACGCTGAGTCAACCCTTCAAACCTTTTATATGTATAATTGAGGAAAACCCAGTCTTTGGATTTGTAGTCCGGTTCTGTGGTGTTTGGCACTAGAAAGGTAGAAAAATTATCCGAGAGCAAAAGAATTTTATTAGTGAAAATGTCATCATTTCATGGCTTTTTAATAGTGTTGCTGTGTTGTCCACTGCCTTACCTGGTTGTAAAATATCAGACTCGGGAAAGTCATCAAAATTTGAAGTATCATCAATGCTTTTGATTTCTATAGGGATTGCTGCTGGCCTTTCCCTGTAAAAAGGTATTGAGTAAGCATGGTAAATTTTCTTGAACTCTTAACTTTCCAAAAAAATAACTCTACTTTAAAATTCTTCATGCTGTTCTACATATATCAGAGGAGCCAAGGAAAGTTATTATGGATTTGAAAAGTTAAGTGGATTCATAGCTGGATATAATTTTTTATTAAAATAGTATCATTTACTTGGAATTTTTATGTCTTTGTATCAAGACTTACTCATGCTGATTTTTTTTAAATGGAAAAACTAGTATTAATGAAAAAGAGAGTAGAACAGATTTTATTTAAAAGATTTTATAATTATATAAAGTACACTGGGTGGACTGGATCCTACCTAATTAACTGAGAAATATAATTCTTCTAAGACAGGATCCAGAAATCACGTTATTTGGGAAAATAAGGGGCTCCAAGGGCAATGGGACTACACATTTGTGATGAAATCTGAATCCAAAAACTTCAGGGACATGAGGTTAAAAAGATTAGTCATGAAAATGCCTTCTTAGCAGGCTAACAGTTTTCAAGTATAGAAATAGTTAAAAGAAGCTATCAATTTGTATTGCTTCTACATTTTTAACAAATACTTATTGGATCTATTCAGGGATAAGTTTACATTATGCAAAAGCATGCACATATTTTTCCCAGGATTATTTGAAGTTATCTGTACATAATAAATTTATACTAGTTTAGTGGAAAGAACTATAGACCCTGGTACCCTCAGATCTAATCCCTTTTCATTAACTAGCAGTATGACCTTAGGCAAGCAAGTATCTACTCTTCGACTCTTTCCTTATTATTAAACCTAGACATTGGACTGGTACAATGTCTCTCAGCACCCTTGTAACTGTAAAAAGCAGGGAATCATAGTTCTGTTCACTGAGATGACCGATATATGTACAGTATAATATGACACAGCAGGATTCCAGAATAAAGTTGCTCAGGTTCAGTTCTAGTTAGTAATTCTAGCTAGATCATTTATTAGCTGTGGCACTGTAGCTAGTAACTTCTCTGTGCCTTAGTTTCCTCATTTGTAAAATGGGGAAAATAATAGTACCTATTTTCTAAGACTAATTAAGAGGATAATAAATTTACATAAAGTTCTTAGAAAAGTGCTGAACCTATAATAAATGATCAAAAAATTAGCTATTTTTATAACAGAGTGCCTAACCCACAGTAGAAGCTCTAGTGAAGGTCTACATGGTAAAAGTGATACACAAGCTGTTTTAGAAGATGGGGAGGAGCAGGCTTGGCAGTGGCAGGGGTACAGATGAGAGCAAGGAGGAGGGGAGCATTTCTGTCAGAATGAACAGCAAATGACAAAGCTGTGAGGTAGGAGGAGCAGGACAGGGCACACAAGATGCAACCTGCGGGATGAGGCGAGAGTCATTCCCCACAGTCCTGAAATGCAGTTAAGGGTCCTTAATTGTATTCTAAGTGCAAAGGGAAGGAAGAAAATGGCATGATCAGATTTGTTTCTAAACTGTTCCTATGTGGAGAACAGTCCAGAATTATTGAAGATAGTCTGGCCGGAAACTAAAGAAAAGCCAGTGCTCACAATTAACATATATAAGCAAATTCTTATGTTACTTGCATTATTTAACTTTCCTAACTGAATTGCATAAATTAATAAAGAAGACAAAGAATGGTATACTAACAAGAGGACAAAAATGAAAGGTTATAGTGTGAAATGGAAATACAACTTAGTTATGCTAACAGCCTTCATCATGTACCTCTGGATACAAAAATCTAAACAGGTGTACAATAGTGATTTTCCCTTAAAATGTACATCAGTTAAAACCAGTCATTTAGCTATAGCCACTATAGTCTCACTCACTTTATAATCCAAAAAACATTGATTTAATAATATATAACAATGTTACTTCTTATATTTAAGCTAGCAGAATCAGAGACAAATTAATCACTAAATCATTTATTACTCAGACCTTTTCCATTCAAAGCCTATGAACATACCTGATGTGCCCCCAGTCTACACCTTCAAAAAACGGATGACCTTTTATTTCTTCTACTCCACTATTTCCAATTCTATTTTCAGAATCAATACAAAATCTAGAAAATGGACACAGAGAAATAATCATATGCAAATTACATCTAAGGTTTTTCTATTTTTATTATTTCAAACATTTCACTTTTGCGTTTACTGAAGTTAACTGTTTATTGTGGGAAATGTGGGAGAAAATATAAATTATCTGTAAATGCATCATTCAGAGATAACTACTATGAACAGTTTGAAGCCATTTCCTTCTAGTATTCTATTATAATTGAAAAAACATTATGTTGATAAATTTGTTACCATTTTAGGACTTTTTTTTTGCTTAATATATTGACAAATTTCCCACAGTCATTATAAGTTTTTCTATAACTTCATTTTCTAAAATTTGTGTACAGAAATATACTTTAGCCAGTCCACTACTGTTGAACATTTAGATAAGTTTTCAATTTTTCATTACTGAAAACAGTATCACGATAAACATTGTACCTAAATCTTTACACACATCTTATTATTTGTATAAGCAAAATTCCTAAAAGTAGAATCGTTGGGTCAAAGGTCATATAGAGCTTAAAGGTTTTTCATAATACGCTGCCAATGGCTATTCCCATAGGTTGTCCGAATGTACATTCCTTCTGGCCATTCACAACAGAATCAAAACACTTCCTCTTAATTGAGAAACAGAATGGAATCCTTTGCTTAGATAAAATTTCATACTAAGACTTTTGTGATATGAACTGCTACTAATAATGTATTTTTCCTTTTCTCTTTAACGGGACAGGATCATTGCATTCTAACAGGAGTGACCTTTGAAACAATTTAAGACCTCTTCCCTCTTCTTAACTCTTAGTTTTCTTTTTCTTTCCTGCATACTTCCTTTTAAGACTTTGCATTTTTTTTTAAAAAAGCCACCTTTTCTTTATTGATCTCTTCGATTGTATATATCAGGAGTAGTCCTTTCCCTCCCACAAAAATGAACTGGCCAATTTAGTCTTTTAGGTACCTGTCAGATTTTAAGAAATGATAAATTCCCCTAGGGATTTAACCACTAACCTAAGAATTAAATCCTTGGCTTTTTCAGATATAGGCACCTCTGGAGGAAATACCAGAGTTTCTTTCCAGTTCATCACTTTTCTGTATGTTTCTTGAGGTGTTTCAGAGCAGAAAGGTGGGTACCCTACATGTCAGAAAAAACAAAAGTTTTATCAATTTTTATGATCAAATATGCTATACCTGCTACATATGTGTCACAAGAAGCAAAGTAGCCCTGAGTACTCTACTTAACCATAAAAAATGCCACTAGTCATTAATTTATAATAAAATTCCTAATGAGGTCAATAAAATAAAGGATTTAAAGCATTCCCCTCCCCCACTTTTATCTGAAAGACCATGCAGACACAATCTTGATACATGAGAGTTCAATTAAATACCCACTTCTGGAAGCTGGATCCCTAGGGAGCTCACTGGGGAAGGGGGCACTGGGGGGCGGGAAAGTGGACGTGTGTGTCAGAAATTGGTATAAAAGAGTTCTGATGTGAGCCCGTGGTACCTGCAAATGTTCAATCAGTAGCACTCAAGGAAATTTACATAGTATGCACATACATGAATGATAAAACGTACCTATTAGCATTTCATACATAATCACTCCCAAAGACCACCAGTCACACAATTTGTTGTACCCGGTCTGCATGAACACCTCTGGTGCAATGTAATCTGGCGTCCCAACTGTAGAATATGCCTGCAAAGGAGCAGCTTGTCAAACCAGCATTCTTAATATATTTTTTGAAAGATGTGAGTATGGCTCACTACTATAAAAAGCAGTATATAGAGAAGTTAATTTTCTAATGCTTTTTTTGTGTTTATTGTATAATAAGGCTTAAGTGATAGGTACAGAGTCAGGTAATGTTATTTAAGACATGATTTCTGCCCCCCAAGAAGTTCAACTATTGTAAATTATTGATACATTTAGCCCTAAATCCATTTCAAAAAGATTAAAAAAGTTGAGCCCAGTAGGCCTGGTCACTAATGCGCTCTCGGGCAGGTTATTCTACCAGCTTCTGCTTATGTAATATTGGAGGAATTATACCTGGCTGAAGAGCTGATATGAAGATAAAACAAGAAAAGGAATGTGCTTTGCAAACTAGTACAACCTACTATATACAAACATCAAGTATTTTCATTATAAGCCTAATGCCAGTCTTTTAAAAAACCTATTTATTTAAGAAAATATTTCTCCACTAAGGGTAGTACCCTAAGGACCATTTGAAAATGTGTGACAGCAGATTTTGTCATTTCAATTGGCACTGAGTAGGCAGGTGATACAGGTTCTAAAGGAATTTCTTGCCTGAAATTCAGTTGAGTTCCCTCTACTTCTCCCTTGGGAAACACCATATAAGTTATGGTGATGGCCACAAGAATAGTAAAGCATGCACATAAGTAATCATCTGTAAATATTCTGTAAATAAGGGGCTACAGAATCCCCACTGTATTTTTTAGCAGTATTCATTTTTCCCTTTTAAAGTAGGAAATACTGTCATTTTTTTTTCTCAATTGTAAAATCTGATCTAAAAGTGGCACATTTAAAAGTAGAAGGAAGTTTCTGTGGTTAATGCACAGCTCAAAACATTTTTAAAACTTAAAAACAGGGAAATGTTCTACTAGCTCAGGAAGCTTGCTGGGATAATGGGAGGGTGAGTTCAGTAACGCCAAGGTCATTTTATTTGGTGTGAGAAGGTTTCAGACTATAACCTTTCAGTTTATTTGCAGCCTTGAAGGAATGCTGAATTAATTTCACTTTCCTCACTCCGTTGAATTTAACTTACATACAGAATATCTGTATGTGCTAGGCATTGTACAAGAAATTAGGAAAACAAAGTCAAAAAGCACATATCTAACCCTGAGAATGTTCAAAGACCTAGTTAACAGGATAAAGGAAAAGAGGAAAGGGGGCAAGAGATTCTTTTCTTTGCTAAGTAATAGAGAAATTGTTTAGGGTTAAGAATAGATAGTGTTGTTGCACAATGAAGGAGTAATTCATCTGTGGTAAAGTCTGCTTTCTAATTGTATTTATTTTAAGACTGTTAACACATCAAGCTTCTTGTTTACTTTGTCTATGAAGAAGTTCTTAGAAACACACAACTCCACTGCATGTGCTGATTGATAGTTGTTGTATCAGGACAGGCATGGAAAGTGAAAAAACGGACATCACAAGGCATTCACTACAATTACACTTATGTGAGTGAGTTTTATAGAAAGTGCTAATTACTAGTAAATAGACCGATTATTTTATTACAGATATGCTTAATAAAGTACTCTAAAGTTAAATTGTAAAATAAAAATCAGCATTTCACTTTATAGGCAAGGAGATATTACAGAGAAACTAAGGAAACTGCGTGATCCCAGAATAAGCTCCATCATTGCTATGAACTAAGTAATAATCATTGTGAAAGACACAAGATAATCAAGCAAAAACCAAAGGAGACTTTAGAACCAGGGCACAAAATTGTTCCTTAAAAATGTGACTAACTCACCAGTTGTCTCCGATTCTTCTTCCATGTTTCTGCTTTCCTCTTTGAGTTCATGTTCTGAAATGCTAATTTCAACAAGACAGAACTGTAATCATGAGAGAAAAACTCTCACCCCAAAACAAATTCACACATATATGTTTAAAATGCATCAGTTGCCCTGACCAGTGTGACTTTTCTGGATGGGCATCATCCCATAAAGTCAAAGGTCAGAGGCGCGATTCCTGGGTTTCCTGGGTTCAGTTCCTTGTTGGGGCCCATACGAAGAGGCAACTGATTGATGTTTCTCTCCCACACCAATGTTTCTCTCCCTCTCCTTCTGCCTCCCCTCCCATCTCTCTAAAATAAATAAATATTTTTTTAAAAAATGCATTGGTTTAAGGAGTAAGGAGAAGGGGAGAACCTTTAGTTCTTAACAGGACTGAATTAAAACAGCCATACTACTTTAATTAAAAAGAAAAAAACAGACTTACAGAAGTCACTTGGTGGGTTGTGTGTAAGGTTTCTGTAGAACTCAGTTCTGTGAGCTTTCTTTAATCCCGTACATAAACCAAAATCAGATAATTTTACATGACCCTAAAAAAAAAAAAAAAGTGCCTAGTAAATTCAGTGGATTATATTGCTATTAACTTTGAAACAAAAGCTGTATTATAAATTTTTTAAATTCAATTATTATAAAAATTCTTAGCGTATAATTCATACAAATGAAACGTAATATTATAAATATCTGATGACTGCATCATTCTATGGAATAATGTATTGTAGTTTAGCAATAATATAAATTGAAGTTGTCAATTCCCGAACACAAAATTAGCTCCCTTGCTCCATAAAATACTTCACAACCTAAAAATTCACCAGTTTATTCACATGCCTTGGCATCCAACAAAAGGTTGTCTGGTTTAATATCCCGATGGATAAAACCCAACTGGTGGATTGCATCTATCGCCAGAACAGTCTCTGAAATATAGAACTGTGTTTCCTCTTCTGTCAAGGTGTCTTTCTTCATTAGCAATGTCATCATGTCACCTGATGGAAAATAAAGGGAAATAAGTATCATGAAGCAAAAATGCCACAAAAGCTCTCTTTGTATTTATACAATGTATGCCTGATTTTTGCATTTCCTGATCCACCCAGGATACCTTCAACCATCTTTAGGGCCAAATAAAGAATGTCATTGCATAAGCAAAAGTTTTATGATATTTAATGGGTTTAAGATAGAAAAATATCAAAGCAAAGATAAAATGAAGTTATATCCACCACTCAATATCCAGAATAAGTTGCTGAGAAAAAAGGTCAAACTGGAAAATATATTAATAAGCACACCTGGAAATGGGATATATTCTTTCAAATTCAAGTTTCAAAAACACTCAGATCTCTTTGGGCTAGCAAAAATAGAACATTATTCCACTAAGAGACTCACCTCTAGACATTCTTTTATTTTCGAGGAATTTTTTTCTTTAAAAGGAGGTAAAGAACAAACACTGGTGAACTTACAACTCAGAATTGACAACTGTCAATATATTTTCACGATGCTTCAAGACTTCTTTTAAAAAATAACAAAGAAATATTCTTTGTCCTCCATTCCCATTCTATTCCTCTTTCCCTTTTTGCTGAGTAACCATTATCATGCATTTGGTTTGATGTATCCTTCCAGCTTATTTTTAAAATGTGTTTTCATACCCAACACTTATATATTAATCTGACTTTATAGTTCTTTGTAGGTTTTTTAAAAATTACATAAATGGTATCAACTGTACATACAATCACACAGTTTGCTTTACTACTCCATTCTGTTTCTGACATCTCACTGTTGAAACAAATATATGCCCTGACTTTACTGTAAAAATTTCATCACATAATTATGCCACATCTTATTTATCGATTCTTTCATGGGTGGACATTGACCTTGCTTCCAGTTTTTCACTATTATGACAATGCTGCAATGAGCATCCTTTTACAGGTCTCTTGTACATGGGCGTCAGGGAGAATCCACAGAGAACACAGCTGGTTGTGGAACTGTGAGACTGTAGGAAACCTGCATTTTTCACTTCACTGTATGTACAGATTGTTCTCTGTAAGAATTACAGATCAATTTACATAAATGAGAGGCCAGTTACCCCACAGTCTCATCTGACTTTTAATGTTTTTACTAATCAGATGAGTGTGAAATGGTATCTCATTCTTGTTTTAATTTGCATTTCCCTGAATACAGGTGAAGTTGAACATTTTCCTATATATTTATAGACTAGCCAGAGTTCTTTTCAGTACACTATCATTTACCTACTGGGTTGTCTTTTTCTTTAGTGACTTGTTCTTCATTCTGGACTTAAAACATTCTAACTACTTCTACACAGTAAATCCTGAATTATAGTACTTAAAATGTGCCAACTTTATCATTCCTTCAAAATAATCTGATTCGTGGTCAAAATTAGCATTATTATGTGAGGGACTACTGGAAAACCATGCTGTAAAACCTCAGAGCTAGGAATATAAAAGTAAACCTAATCAATAAAAATATAATTACACATAGTGATTTGCTTGTGTCAGTCTGTCATTGCTGTTACGTTTGCTTTTACCTCCAGGGAGAAATTCCATGATTAGATAAAGGTTCCTCTTATCTTGAAAACTGTAAAACATCTTCACCACCCAGGCACCATCTGCTTCTACCAAAATATCTCTTTCTGCTCGAATATGAGCCACCTAGATGAATGTATTTTAAAAAAATAATTGTAACACATTACACATTTTTCAGGCTTACCTCTTACAATTATCCATCCATTTCCTTAGAAGTCACGAAGGAAAGCTGGAGTTTTAGAAAAGATTTGAAACATATATGCATGTTCATATTCTCATTAAATACAGAGGACCTCAGGAAATAATTTAACTTATATCTTTAGGCCTAAAAAGGTGGGATCCACAGGTATATGAGGGGAAGCTTAGGCCTCTGAGATAGAAAAATGACTAGTCTAAAATCTTTCTGACCAGATTCTCCACCTGGGCAAGGATCCTGGCTTTGTCTTATAAATTTAGGGCCCTAGTCTGACTTTAAAAAATTAATAGTAAGAAAAATCAATAAACAAAAATGAATAGTAAGAAATGCTCTATAAATTGGTAAGACAAAGTCAGGGCCCTTTAGCAAACTATTTTTAACTGTTAGTAGTCAAACAAAGGACCTGACTTGTTCTTTAACCATTTGGTTGTCGTCTTAAGAAGCAGAAATGTTTATAATAACTTTATATTATTTTGTTAAAAGATAAAACCTCTATAATATCTAGAAATATGATCTATAGCAAATTAATATAATTTTTGAGGGGTTGGCTACTGACTTTTGTCAGATACACAATTACTATGGATCCATTTTATAGGCTGTTTTATAAACTGAGTAATTTGTGGAGTTTATATTTATCAATTTTCAGATGTTTTTGCATTAATATATTTATACATTCTTTCTTGAAAGACCAACTGACAATAAGATTTGATTTTATGCTTTTGCTATTTTCACTGTGCACCGCTATGAATTCTGGCCCAAAGCATGTGAGAACACAGATTTTGTAAATCTTTTCATGTTAATAAAATATGATCTGCTTAAAATATCATATTGAGATTATTATATTCTCTAGTATGGTAAATGCTCTGAGATCAAAACACAAGAATAAAAGCTGAAAATTAACAAATTGCTTTCTGGCATCAAAAATCTTTATGATCTCTTGGGACCTGTTTCAAAATTCTTACCTATCGTCTTTTACAAAGTATTCTGAGATGGTGTTGCCTCTGGTATTGTCAGGAAAAACAACTACATTGTCTACTTGGCTTGGTTATTTTCAAGTATCTTAAAGCCAGATGACAGAATATGTTCTCAAAATGGGCCTATGTTTCCAAAAGACAGCAAGTACCATGCTCAGTAATCAGGTACCACAGCAGGGAAGATAGAAGTTGCCACTTAATTCTGTGGGGTAATTAGCATTAAAATAAATGTGGTATAAACTTAATGTATTAAAATGGAGTGGGAAAAGATTTCTAAAATGAAATTCAATGGTGACAAATGCAGATTTATTTAAATAGGAGGAAACTAACCCCGAAGTGCAAAAACAGACTTAACAGTGGATTCCACTGAAATTGCTCCTGCATAGGAACAGTGGTCAGAAGCTCTTCAAAATCTTGCAAAATATTGTAGACCAGGTCTGTCCAATAGAATATAATGCAAGTCACACATGTAATTTAAAATTTCCTATGAGTCACGTAACGCCTAAAAACAAACAGGTGAATTTTTTAAAATAGTAAAGTTTAATAATCTCCTATATCCAAAATGTCTTCATTTTAGTTTAATCAATACAAAATTATTGAAACATTTGACACGTTTTTTCATACCAAGTCTCCAAAAGTTGGTGTGTGCTTTCTATCTGTAGTATATCTCAGTTCAAACTACGTACTTTTAAGTGCCCAGTAGCCACGTGTAGCTAGTACTGAAGACTAGAGTTGGACCTACCTGCTGCCTTTTGTCCTTAAAACCCTATCCAGGATGAACCCCAGTGTAGCCTTGTGAGACTTGTTTATCTCCTTGTCTCTGAAGTCCCACACTGTGGAGCTCTAACTACAGCTTGACCCAGACACCTACTCCCCTCATTACCTGTAATTCTCTAATACAACTTGTATCTCCACCTTCTTTGCCTTCCAAACCCTCTGTAATCAGTCTGTCTTCAACAAAATCACCTGATCTCTGGATGGTTTGTATCACCTTATCATCCTAAATGAAGCCAGGCTGTCTGTCTACTGAGAGTTCTGTCTTCCTGCAGAGCGAGTTCTCGAGAATGACCTGCTTTTCTCTCACCTGTTGCCTGGTGAGGGGCTGGGGTTCCTACCCATTCTCATGGCTGCCCCTGAACCACTGTGAGCTTTCCCTTCTCTCCAGCTCCCGTGAAGCCACGCGCTTCACCCCGCATCGCCCTCCTGCACAACTCTCCCTTACAGAGCTCCTGATCAATCCCCGCCCTCATTCATGGCTTCAGCTCACAGCTCCCCGACTTCCCTAGGGATGAACCATCAAATACCCTGTCTGCACAGGGCCTCGATGTCTTCCTCGCCTCCAGTGATCTTTTCCTCACTACACCTCAGCCACCCAAGGTAACCTTCTTGTCTTTCTTGTCCCCAGTAATCGTCCCCCGTCTAAAATCTCTACTTTAGGGAACTCTGCTCTCATTTCCACCCTTAACCTTCCAGGTCTTTTATTCTTGTGCTTCATTCTGCATTCCATGGACCCTACCATTTTTTCTCTATTACTCTCCTTACAACCGCGTTTCTTTCTCTGCCAGCCTAGACTCCATCATTATGATCACTCTTTTGCAAATGCCTTGACGTCCCTTGTCCTTCCTTCCTCCATTGTATTTGCCTGGCCAAACTGCAACCCTAGTTAACCTCAATTTTCTGTCTACTGTGTCTATTCTGCCCCAGAGCAACTGATATTACTAGGGAAAACTCACCTAATTATACCGCTGGTTTCATTTGACATTCATGACTGCAAATCTCAGCGGGCATTTAACTGTACTTCCCTAGCATGCCTGCTTTCCCACACTTCCGGTCAATAGTTGTGATGATGTCACAACTTCTCTCTCCTTATACCTCCAACAAGTTACATCCCTCCTTTACAAGCTGATGACCTCACTTATTTGTACTCAGGCAGAAACCTGGCACTTTATTACACTCTCAGATCAACTACCCTGCATTTGCTCTAATTTTTGCTGCTTTTTCTTCCTGTTTTAATGAACAGGTCCCTGCTCCTATCAAAGATCAACTCCTGTTTCCCAGTGCACTCCTCTAACTATCTGCCCTCGCTCTCCTGCACTGTCAACTTTCTCTTCCTAATGGGGTCTCCCAACCAGCATGAACCATTTCCTATCATACACACACACAGCCCCCCCTTCATATATATACACATATATGTATGTACATATATACGGTCCCACACCCACCTTTTGACCCCACATCTCACTTTACCAATCTATTCTTTGTTCTGCTTCACGTGATTCATCTATACTCACTATTTTCACTTCTTGCTTCCCATTTTCTTTGCCACTCATCCAGTCAGGCTTTTGCCCTCCAGTGCATTGTAAACTGTCCTTGCCAAGTTATTAGAAACCTCCACACTGTGACATCCAGTGGCCTGTCTTCCTCTTGCTCTCTCTCTTTTATTTTAGTAGCAGTCAACATAGTTGAACGGTCACCTCCTCCTTTAAACACTTTCTTCTCTTGGCTTCCATGACACCGTGTTCTCCTAGGTCCCCCTGATCTGATGAGATGTTCTCTCTTGGTTTTAGCTGGTTTCTCCTCTGCCTAGTGTTCCCTAAGGCTTGGATCCAAGCCCCCTTTTCTTTCTCATCTATATTTGTTCCCTTGGCAATTTCATCTTGTCCTATAACTTTAAATATTATCAATATATTGAGGACTTCAAAGTTATATTTCCAGTCAAACTTCTCCCCATATTTTAGTCAATTGTCAACTTAATATCTCCACTTGGATATCTAAAAGGCAGCTCAAACTTAAACTCCTTCCTTCCCTGGTCTTTAAAGAGAGGGGAAGGGAGAGTAAAAGAGGGGGTGAGAAACATCAACTGGTTGCCTTTCATGAGCATCCCAAATGGGTATCAAACCTGCAACCTAGGCATGTGCCCTGATTAGGAATTGAACCCATGACCTTTTGGTTTGCAGAATGACACCCAACCAACTGAGCCACAACAGTCAGGGCTCCTCGGTCTTCCCCTAAATCAGAAAATGACACCATTATGCACCTCATTCCTAAGTAAAACTCTAGGTATTATCCTTGATTTTACCTTTTTTCCCCTCACTCCCCTTGCCCTTCCTCTCACCTCCCAACATAGAGTATATCACAAAAAATCCTGCTGGCTCCTTCATTGAAACACATACTTAATCTTGACTTTTCTTCAGTTTCACTGTTAAAACCCCAGTATAAGCCACATACGTATCCTGGCTAGAATTGCTCGTCTTCCAATTGGTCTCCCTGCTTCACCTCTTGTTTCTACATCAACAAGCAAAGAAATTGATTCATCTTTGTAAAACATCAATTAGACATACCACTCTCCTGTTTAAACAGAATCAGTGGTTTTCCAGTGCATTTAGAATAAAACCTGAAGTCTGTATCCTGGTCTTCAAAGCCCGACATAGTCTGGTCCGGCCTACGTCTCCCACTTCATCTCTAACCACTGTTCCCCCGACTCAATTTTAGCGATGATGGGTTCCTTCTCTTCTTTGAGCAGGCAGAGATTATTCCTGCCTCAGGGCTTCTGCATCTGCCACCTGGATATTTGTTCTGCCAGGTCTTATATATATCATTCTTTCTCATTATTCAGTTTCTCATCAAAAATTCCCTCCTCAGAGAACCTTCCCTCTAAATCCAGAGCAACCACATCACTTTATTCTTTTGTAAACACTTTCTTCATATGGCTCATAAATAATGACTGTTGAAATAGCTGTCTGCCTATTTTCCCCACTACTATAAAAGAGCAAGGATCAAGTTTGTCCTTTTAACCACTGTATTCCCCGAATCTAGAACATACACATACTTGTTGGATGAATGGAATAGAAATAAAGTAAAAGAATGGAGTGAAAATTCAAGTGGGCCAAATTTAAATAAAAGTTAATATCATATTACTGTAATGACAAAGTAAGCTTCCGGTGAGCACCAGAAGACTGAAATAAATCATTAGGTACAGGTAGGCGCCACTACCCTCTCTATCCCCGCTGTGGAGACCTTCACCAGCATATATATTCAATTAGGGCTCTACAGTGTGTCTACCCAGGCGAACACGTAAAACAATACTACTGACGCCTTCAGACTTATGGCTGCCGCATAAACTCCATCAAGTCACAGGAAACAGAGAGAGGGCCCAGGAGTATGAAATTAGAGTGATTACAGATTTTGGAAATATATAAAATCAAAATCAGCAAATTTTCAGAATGGTCTTGCTTTTTTGATATGTGACAGGGATAGAGAGTACTGTGAACTATCCTTTATTTTCACTGAAGTCTGAAAAGCAGGTATTTTATTATGGACTGAATGTTTGTGTAGTCCCCAAGTCCCCATGATAATGCCCAAATCCTGAGTATAACAGGATTTAGAGATCGGCCTCTAAGGTGGTGACTGAGGTTAAGCGAGTTCAAGGGCATGTGAGGGGAGGTTTGGGTGCCTTATAAGAAGAGACGTCAATGAGTTCTCGTTCTCTCTCCTTCTCTCTCTCTGAAAGCCAGGAAGAGAGCCCTCACCAGAAACCAAATCCTGGCAGAACCTTTATTTTATACTTCCACCCTCCAGCACTGCTAAGAAAATAAATTTCTGTTGTTTAAGTCACCCAGTCTGTGGTATTCTGTTACAGCAGCCTGAACTGCCTAATACCTATTTAAATTATAAATTTAGGAAATATGTTACTACAAGACTTGAAAAACGATGAACAGTCTATCACAAAATTAATAGATTATACAGCAAAATATGTAGATTTCTTTTTAAAAATTCCAACCTCAACACTTACTTTAACACCTCGTCATTGGCTGTTCCTTTGGTTAACATGTTAAAGAACATACCTGCTCTTTTTCAAGCATATCAGCTTTTCTCAATATCTTCATTGCATAGATATGGCCTGTATCTTTCTTCTGGACCAGCCGCACCTAGAATGTAAAAATTGATCACATTATAATTACTTACGTGGGAGCAACTGTTTTAAAGAAAACAGTGTTGAAATTTGCCATTGATGGTATCTAAGGAATTCTATTCAACTATATTTTAATACATATTAAACTATTTCAATAGCAGTGACTTTAAAAAAGAACCACACCTCTCCAAATGCTCCTCTTCCTATAACTTTCAGAGACTCAAAGTCATCCAAGCCAAGTCTGGTCCTCTTGAGCCGTAAGAACTCTGTTTCCTTGCGAGCATGTTGGGATCGGCGTAACTTTTTCTATTAAAGCAAAACAAAAAAAGAGTTTAAAAAGATTACTTTAAAATCAGATTGTTTCAAAGGAAACCTACAGTACTAAAAGGTAAGACACATAAAAATGGGGGTGAAGTATCTTATATTATTATATATTGGTGCAATAACTAATTTACCAAAATCAAATATTTATGAAGCATGGACAATCTAAAGAAAGCTTACAAATGTTTTAACAATTGATATAAATCTTTATTCTTGAGGTACACTCCATTAAATATTTCATCTTAACTAATTCATCATATTCTTTCATCTATATGCTAACTTAATTCAAAAATAAAAATTAAACTTTAGGAAATGCTAATAGTATTCTGATACTGATTTTTACTGTCAAGAAATCTACTTTGTTTCAATTCCCTAAACCCCAAGATTGCTCTGCCATAACTACTGAGACTTATGACACCAAAATAACACAACAGCGTTTCCATAGAAATTTACTTAGGGTAGAATTTACTCTTGGACAAATTTTAATAAACTGCTTGAGACTTGGCACACTTCCTGAAAATATGAAATTGTAACAAAAATAATTACACAAAGAAGTTATTAAAATATTCAAGTGAGGAATTTCATAATTCATTCTCCAGAGATCACAATAAGTAACTACCATTAATAAGAAACATGAAATACCTTCAGGTTACATTTGCAATGGGCATTTGTTTCATTCTTCTATTGGGTTGGCCAAAAAGTTCTTCCATGTTTTTTATAAGATGGCTCTAGTAGCACTTAGTTGTCTTTAACTTCATTGGAAATAGTTTTGTTAGACTGTATTGTGGCAGCTATGATATCAGTGTGCATTTAAAAAACTTATCAAAGTTGGTGAATTTTTGAGTAGTCATTTTAATATTGAAGATGGAGGAAAGTATGCAACATTTTCAGCATATTATGCTTTATTATTTCAAGACAGGTAAAAAAGCAACTGAAGTGCAAAAAAAAAAAAAAAAAAAAAAAAAAAAGGATTTGTGCAGCATATGCAGAAAGTGCTGTGACTGACCGAATGTGTCAAAAGTGGTTTGCAAAGTTTCGTGCTAGAGATTTGTCACTGGACATGCTCCATGGTCAGCAGACCAGTTGAAGTTGACAGCGACCAAATCGGGACATTTATTGAGAAGAAGCAACGTTATACCACACGAGAAATAGCTGACATACTCAAAATATATAAATCAATAAAGTTATTGGTGAAAATGAAAAGTATGTCTTTTAATTTACAGAAAAAAACAAATGGACTTTTTGGCCAATCAATATTTTTCACTTCCCCCCTCACCAAATAAAATTCTGTTTTTTGACACATCTCCTAGTACAGGTAACATAGAGTGGGAAATAAACAAAATCAATGAAAAAAATTAAAGTCTTATTAACCTTCAAAGGAACCCTATCAAGCTTTCAGTGATTCAGTTCTGAGGAGGAGACAAGTCAAAAACCGTAAGAGCTCAGAAACCTAAATGGAGTACAAGGTTTAACTATTAAATAGTCGTTCCCCACCCTCGCATGTATGTTTTCAAAAGGATGAGGTAAACTATTAATTAGAAATATGTAAATATGTATGTCAATGCAATGGAATTCTGACACTTCTAACAAGGTTAGTTTAAGAGGATAAAATTAAGAATTTATGTCTTCAATCTAAACATCTTTAAACAGCTAAATGAAGTTACACATTCAGGCACATCAATGCTGGAAACAGAAAAAGACTCTTTTTTTGATCAAAAATGCCTTTTGAATAACGGTTTCAAAAACTGAATTACTAGTAAAGCAAAAAGATCAAAAGTAGTTTTACACTTTAAGATTATAATAAAAAAGGCCACATGGTGGCACTGTAGTACTCTTTCAAAGTAGTAAAGAGCACTCCCCCTCCTTAATTACATAAATGAATAAATATAAGAATTTTGAGACATATTTATGATTTTATGGGTTAAAAAACAGTGCAGTTATAGTTTCAGAAAATTGTATGAGTAAAAAATATGACTTTATTACATACTTTCATAAATTATGCTCAAAATTGACCAAGGCAGCCAAAAGAAAAGAATGTTTATTAATACTTGGTAGGTTGTGTAATGCAGCAAGTAAACAATGTTTATGTGCAGGAGACAGCTATTTAATGGCAAAAAAGGGAGAATCCCAAGTGTAGATATATAATTTTACAAAAATCTATTCCATGATATTATTCTTAAAGTCCATAGGAAGCTGAAGAAAAATTTACATTAAAAAAATTTATGGAAAAAAATGTTGACGTATATGCTCACGACTTGTATTGATTAAGTTGCCTTGAAAAACAAGTACCATTTCTGTGGTAATCACATCATTCCTCTCCAAAGAAAACAGCAAAAGTCTGTGGACAAGGTCAATATGGCATGACTCTCTTTTGTGGTTTAAACTTGCCTATATTGGTTTTCCATTAGAGTCGGTAATATACTATGCTTAATGGGATTTTCCTAACTGCGATGAAGCTAAAAATGTATTGCTTTCTTCCATTCTCCATTTCTTCTTAAATGGGTGTTCCTCAAACTCTCAACCTGCCAAGCCATCACCAAGCCATTATTATACGAAATGTTAAATGGATTTAAGAAGATCAAAACTATGAACATTAAAATGGCAATAAGTTCACAACTATGAAAAACTGAATCTAAAAAACAAACTAAGCAAACAAGCAGAACAGGAACAGAATCATAGATATGAAGATCACCTGGAGGGTTATCAGTTGGGAGGGGAAAGGGGAATAATGGGGGGAAAGACACAAGGATTGAGAACAAATTGGTAGGAACAGAATGGACAGTGGGGTGTTAAGAACAGTATAGGAAGTGGATTAGCCAAAGAACTTACATGTATTACCCACGGACATGAACTAAGAGGGGGAATGCCAGAAAGAACGGGGGGTGCCAGGTGGAGGGAGGCAAGGGGGGGGAAATTGGGACAACTGTAATAGCATATCAATAAATTATATTAAAAAATTAAAGACGATGTAAATCATTTTCTGATCATTGGAAACTGTTACAATAATCGATCTTGGTTGTCTCTATTTCCCTATTGCCTGGAAAATAATAAAGTATGTTATTTCTTAGTAAACTATTCCAAGCCTAGCTTTTCACTATGTGCTGTCAATCTGTCTTGCTATTTCCTTTACTGCACCCTTTATTATTCATTATTCTGCATATACAGGGTCCAGCACAAGTAACACCCCTTTTTATTATACAATCTTTTATTACAAAATCATAAGCATGTAATTCTGTAACATAACAATATCGCACTGAAGCACACCATATGACATTTTCAGTGAAATATTCAAATGGCTGTCCGTCTCATGTGGGACATTCACATATCCTACCAACCACCGTCAAGCAAGCCTTGTTTCTTCTGGACCCCGTATATTCATTTTGTATATATACCTCAACTCTTAGGTAAATTCTAACTATCTTTTTAAAGGTTCAAATCAATTGTAACATCTTCCATAAAATACTTCCTGATTCCCCTAAATTTGGGGGGCGGGGGGAAATCTCTGCATTTTTAAAAATTTTGCCATAGTCTATCACGTATACATTTTACACACACACACATATGTAATTTGTCCTCCTAATCTGTAAACTCCTCAGGGAATGATCCATTATTGTTCAGCAAATGTTTATTCTAGCCTTGTGCCGGCTTTGGAGATAAAATGCTAAGTAAGTCATTGTGGAGTTTCTCCTCTGGGATGATGTCATTTTAAGGCTACCCCAGGGAAAGGTACAGTGTTATGACGGAATGTAGGAGTACCTCAAAGGATTAGGGATGATTTCTCCATGGAAATGATGCTTAAAGTGAGACCTAAAGCTTCTAGAAGAATAATGGGAGTGAGGCAGGAGTACGGAAGTCCCAAGCAGCAGAAATAACATGTAAAATGGTCCATGGGCAAGAGCATGGAAATTAAAGTATTTCAATATTGCTGGTCAGCATGGGGGTGAGGTGGCAAGAGGTGAGGCTAGAGAGAGATAAGCAAAGGCCAACAAGGGACCTTATATACCAATGGTAAAGAGCTTGCTCTTATCCTGAGCACTCAGCAGCCAATGAAGGATATTAAGCAAAAAAAAAAGAGGAATGTGATCCAGTTTGTTTTTAGACAGACAACTCTGATTGCAATGTGCAGAAAAACTAGGTGGGAGTGCAGCCAAGACTAGAGGAAGAAAGATGAATTGGGGGCAGTTATTCTTCAGGTGACATATACAATAGTATAAATTAAGGTAATGGCACTAGAGTAAAGAACTGGATGATATTTAGGAAAATTTTCTGAGAAAATTTGGTGAATGATTGGTTCTTCTTGGGAACCTCTTTTCTTGTTCCATCACCCTCAGATACTGCAGATACTATTCACTAAATCTATGTTCTTGGAATTTAAAAAAAAATGCTGCTTCCTTTAAAGGTAGCCATCATAACAACAAAGAAAGAAGCCCACATACAAACAATGAAATACACATCATCTAAGTTGTAAAATCATCTGACATCAATAAACTTTTGTAAAAGTCACTTGGGTTGCTTTTGTACAATAAATACTGATTTTCCTCCCAGTTTCATTCAGAAACGAATGACATATAACATTGTGTAAGTTTAAGGTATACAACATGATGATTTGATCTACATATAGATTGCAAAATGATTATCACAATAAGGTTAGTTAACATGTCCATCACCTCACATAACTATTATTTTTTTGTGGTGACAACATTTACGATCCGCTCTCTTAGCAACTTTCAAGTACATAACACAGTATTGTTAATTACAGTCACAGTACAGCTAACATTACCTCTTCATCTGCTAATCCTTCTTCTTCCATGGCCACTTCTAATTTCTTCTGCCTTAACAAAAAAATAATAATAATAATTTAAATTTTAAATTTATTCCTAAATATTCCCATTTTAAAAACATGTTTATTTTTTCAAGTTTACCACTTCAATTTGTTATGTTAAAAAAAATCTTTCAAGTTGAATCAAAATAATCACTAGGTACAGTTTTCTTTCTCAAAATATAAGCCCAATTCAGATTTCGCTTTCTTATACTGGCCAAATAAGATTTACTTCTAAAATTGCCTAAATGAATTGTTAGCGAAGGTGACTAATGTTCTAAGAAGGAACACTCTGTAATCTAATGTTCAATCCACCAAAATCATTAACATTTATCATGTTTATATTATATGTATATGAAGATAACTATAGTAACTAAAAGTATAAATTTTTAAGGTGGATATCCATTTAAATCCTGATTTTAATATTTATTAGGTTATCTACATCTTTCACTTACAGTCTAAGCTTAATTTCCTAATTAATCAAGGAAGGATGTTCAATGAAATTGAGTATATTTTATGCCATTATAATTCCTTATAAATTAGAAAGTCACTTATGTATACAAAATGTGACCCATTAACTACCAGAACATTTACTTTTCAAGGTATAGCCAAGTGCAGCTATTCATTATTTTTAAATGGCACCCTTGAAGTTAGTTAAGCTAATTGTTGGGGTGGGGAGGATGGAGGAGCGACAGGATACATGAACTAGTAACTAGAGAAATAGTTGTGGCAAATTTTGTAACTCATTTCCAAGTGAATATTAAGTATTTTAATTTCTATTGTATTGATTTTTCCTAAAGATAAACCTGAGAGAGCTCTTCCTAATTAATTTTAGAGTATGCTACAATGAGATTAACTTTCCAGGATTTATTCACATGGATATAGGGGTTGAGGATTGAAACTATCATACACATTGTCTGGTATCTGTTATTTATAACAGTATGTCCAAAAGTAAGTTCTTTCCTAATCCATTAAGATCTCTTTCTTTCTTTAGGAAAATTCCTAGCAGAAATGTCTGAAGCCTGTTCATAAATTAGCACTCAAATGGAGAAGATGAGACCTAACAACATATTCTTCGCCCGCTCCCTCAGCAACTGTAATAGGTACCCTGGTGCTTACTACACTGATTTTTTTCTTTTGTTTATATACTATTCCCCTAAGCCCAACCTTAGAATGGAATAAGCCCCTAGCATCATGCACCTCCGGGCACTCTGGAGCTGCTTGCTGAACAATTTTGAGCTCTCTCTGCAGAAAGAATCCAAAGAGTAAAAGAACCATTAATCTGGGAGGGACAGCAACACATAAGCAACTCTGGTCTTCTGTAAACTCTCTGCTGCCCCTTTCCTTGCCAAGACTAACACTTCATGTAGTAATCCTTCATTCAGAGGAGAGAGGAAGTAACTTTCATTTGTTTGCACCTTAACTAAGCAGGAACACCTATGACTTCTTTTACATTTTTAAAAACTTGTTTTCCTCTTAAAATGATCTGACATTTTGTTCTTTGAGTGGTACTTTATTTGGCTTATATATTTATCCATTTAGTTAAGCCTTAAAAATTCATCACATGTTTTCTTAAAGTATAAACTTTTTTACCATATGTTTTTAATATTATTATTTTAATAATGCAACAATTCTTTATCTTATTTTTTCAATTACAGTTACAATTCAATATTATTTTGTATGAGTTTCAGGTGTACGGCATGGTGCTTAGACAATGATATATGTTACAAAGTGTAGTATAAACTGTCGGTATTTCCATGGCACCACCAAGCTGAGGCTTTTTTTTTTTAAATAACAGCAGGTACTTTTATTCTTATTCTCCTTTGTTTGGAAATAGAAGGGAAAAATGAATTACTTTCAGGTTTCAGCAAGAAAAAACAATGAATCTTTAAAATTCTGACAAGTAACACAAGTGTCTGTCTCCTGAAAAAATAATAGGTCCTTCTTTCCTTGGTTCTCTTCTACTTGATGATTTGATGACTTCCAGAGACTTTCATTACATTTACAATTAGTGAAATGACTTACATATTTGGATTTATTTCTAACTTATTTTGTGGTTTCTATGTGTGCTTACTATTTGGTATTTCAGTTATTCGTCTTTGCTTGCCTTTTTTGAACTTATTTCCCCTCTTTTCCCATTTTTTTCCTTCCACAACTTTGGAAATTACAAATTTTTTTTTATTCTGTTAGTGGCTACCTAGAAATTACATGTATACTTAGTTTGCCAAAGTCTGAAATTAATCTTTATCCTATGTTGTATCTCTGTTCTAGAGACACAAAGATATCTAAAAACACTTTAATCCTACTTCCCTCTTGATAGTAGACTGTTAGAAAACATTTCAATTCTATTTTTAAAAAATGCTTAAGACATTATCATTATTATTGATGTTGTTTTTACACAGTTGATTTTTGTTGGGGTTTATCCACCCATTTACATTTAAATCTTCTGTTTGTGATCACTTCCCTTCTGCCTAAATTGAATCTTGTGAAATTTTCCCTGCTGACGAACTCTTAATTTAACTTGCCTCTGCTCCATTCTTTTCCTCTCTTCCTTTAGGAATTTTGATTAAAGGTATGTTAGCTTTTCTTTCTAGTCTCTATGTTTTTTAACTCTTTCACATTTTCTTATTCTGTCTCTCTAGTTGGGCTTCTGAGTAACTGTTTTATCTTCTAGCTCTAATTCTCTCCTCAGCTATGTCTAATCCGCAGTGAGGCCTGTTCAAAATGAAGTTCTAAACCTGATTCTTCTTCTCGAGTCCTATTTCACTAAAGTTGCACCACTCTGTTTGCCCAGGCCTGACACTTTAGAGCCAGTATTGACTTGTTCCTCTCACGTTTCGTATTTGGCTAGTTTCCATGTTTTTTTTTCAATCTTCCTCACCCGTCAATTCTTTTCTATTGTTGCTGTCACAATCCTACCTCAAGTCTCCTTTCCAAATATTTGCCTGGACTGCATCACTAGCCTTTCCTGTTTCTAATCCCTCCGCCCATAGTCCATTCTATGCATCACAATTAAAGAACTCTTCTAGAGAAACACTTGCAATCATCTGATTCTTCTGTTCAAAAATCATGCAGGCCCTCTATGCCCCTGAGAATAGCTACACTAACAAAGCATCCAAGGCTCCCAGGAAATGCTGACATCCAGCTTGAGCTAAATTCAACAGTGTCTGACCTAACACTGAAGGTGATTTCTTCTGTCTTTAATATCCTTCTTCCTGCTCTTTAACTTTTTTCTTCTCCCTTTGATGTATGTCTAAATAGGACATTTTCTTTAGAGCCTTGTTTAAACGCCACCATTTATGAAGCTCCCCTGCCCCCAGCTGCCTTAGACAAAAGGAATCGCTCGTCTTTGGTTTCTCTTAGTGACACTTTTCACTCTTTGATGTAGTATATATGTGCATTATCTCCCTTACTATATTTTCCTAACGGCAAAACAGCATGTCTTTCATTTTTAATTCTCCCATTCCTACTTATTTATACACAACACCATAGATGCTTTTGGATTATAGCATTCGATTATTCATAACATCTCTCTAAAAGCAAGTAAAAAGCGCTATCATAATTTCATGGTTGGAAACATTTTGTTTAAAACATCAACTGACATTTGAAACAAGTATATGGGTGCACAGGACAAGAACCTATTCTTCAAAAATTAAACAAAGAACTAGGTCCGTTGTCAGTATAAGAAAAAGAGCACAGGGGTCTACAATATTTATATTATCAATGAGCAACATGCTTCCACTTGCAGCATTAACAGCTTATTTAATTAAACAGAATATTTTGACCGGCTGTTACTATACCTGGTTTCTCTCTCTTCATGCTGTAAAATTAAGTTGCTGTAAAAATTCTCCAGCGTGAGCTTGGCCACAGTCACCCTCTCCCGGGTATGGTTGCTCATAGGGAAGGTGGTTGTAGTCCCTGCCGTCATTGCCATAGCAACAGAAACTGAAATGACACATAAACACAAATTATTCACTAAGAAAAAAGAACTTTTTTTCCTTTATAACAAACTCTAGAAATGGTTTGATTTCTACTGAGAAAAATTCTATCCTAACAGTTAAGATAATCCAAATCTTTCTCATTATAAATAACACAATAATGCAATACTAGTAAAGAAAGAAAGACACACTATTCCCAAAGCAATAGAAATTAGTTTTGAGCTGGCAAAATGAGGGGTGAATAATGAATGGTAAGGAAGCACCAGTGTGGGTCCACACTCAATATAAAAACATTTACATACAAAAGGCTGTATTCAACAAGCATTAAAAACAAGAAAGTTTATCTATTTTGTTGCTGTTTTACTGATTACTAAATGAAATCCACAATATTTTGCTAATACGTATGTCCCCAATAAATGCAAGTCTTCTAAGAGTTAATGTAGTTTAGATAAACAGTAAATAGCTTCTGCTATATAAATTTTATGAAACATGAAATGTTGCATCAATAAGCACACAAATATCAGTCTAAAGCAATTCTTATGGGTATATGTTTCACAGGAAAATACTTTTAGAAAAAAGCCCCTTTGGATGGAGTCCATGGCTGCCCTCTTTCATTTTGAATTCCATCATTTCAGATAGTACTATAATAAGGTCTAATACACTTCTCCAAACTATGAAGTCCATTTCATTTTCAAATGACACTCAAATGCCTGTAGAAACCAGGCAGGAAACACTAGTGTGTGAATCTAATCAGGGGACAACAGGGAAGTTTTGTGTATTTCTACTTATAGCTGTTCAAGTGCCAACTGTGAGAAACCACTGGAACAGCCAAACAAAGTACTGGTTTGAAGATAATCTGGACAATTAGCAAGATAAGGAATGTAACAAAAAGACTACTTTACAGGGGGAGAGATTAAACTCTAGTGGCTGCTTTGGTGGGCAGTGACCCTAAGAAATTTGCCTACCACAGTGTATATCTGGACAAAACAACAACAACAACAACAACAACAACAAAAAACCTAGAATGATTCCATATGTTAAAAAGACTTCTGCTTATCTGGATGGGGATTATAGCAGACCGATTTAGAGAAGATTCAGATTGCCAAGAGTGAGCATTCAACATTGCACTCCTAGCTGAAAAGTACCCCCCAAAACCTGCCACCTACTCCCCAACACTCACCTCTCCTTAGTTAGATAAAAATATCGACCCCTGTATATAGATCTGAACTGGACTAGAATCCAGGGATAACGGAATGAACCAAAAAGGCTTTCCTGTACTTCAATGTCAAGCAGAGATTGAAAGTAAACAATTTCCAGTTCCACTGTCATCTTACTGGGTTTATACCTCAATGTATTGGAGGAGCCTCAAATCCTTATGTCTAAAACACTATCATTTTAACATCATAAACTTGTTCCTCTGCTGACTACTCTAAATCTTTTTATCACAAGAAGCTGATCACATATTTAAAATCACTCACATCTCCTCATTTGCCTACAGCAATTCAGATTAGTTTAGTATGATAAAGACAACTCACATACACCGAATGCTAGTATAGATCAAGAATTTTATGCCATTTTTTATTCACTGAATTTCCCTTTTTTCTCCTGAGGATTTGAGATAGTGGCGCTTCCTATGCATGACTGCGTTTCATGTTCACAATGGCCCTGTACCGTAAGGAACTGAAGCTTAGCAAAGTCATAGCTAGTGAGCTGTGGAGTCAGGACTCCAAACCCTACCTCCAACTTGCAGTTCTAGCCTCATCTGCCGCCCTTCCTCACCACTCACTCTTCTCCCAACATACTTGGCTTTCATGCCTCCAAGCCCTCACATGACCAGTCCCTAAATCAGTTATGTCCTGACTCTCTTCACAGGAATCCTGCTGATTCTTTAAGGCACAGTCTTACTGTGAAGACTTCTCTAACATTCCGTACCAGGAGAAACATCACATTTGGCATGCTTTCATGTGTGTTCTCTAGCATTTGTACCAACAGATTTCAGGTACTGGTGCTTATCACTCCATTTCTCTATCCCACTAAACTAGGAGAACCTCTGGGTAAGAACTTTTCCTGCCTCATTCTTGACTATTTACTACAATAGCACTGTATCTGACGTATAAGTAGGCATTAATGAATGAATGGCTCAACCTATCAAATGTGGAGTGGGGAAGGGTTGAAAGAATTGGCTAACAGTAATGAACACTGGTTAATAAGCAGCTATGGAAAAAGAAATTACTGAACCTAAGAGTCAAAAATGTAGAGATCTAATCCAGATCCTGCCGCTAATTAATCATATGGCCTTATTCAAATCACCAGAACATTATGAATTTGTCACTTTTCCCCAGATAAGCATTATATTTGCTCTGCTAGTTCTCAGGTATAGTCTCAGGCCATATGAGACAGTACACAGCAAAGCTACAATGGCTTATACAAATGTATGATATTATTTTAGACAGTTAAATTTTTTAAACATGCTAAATGCTATAACAATAATAATAATGAGCATTATTTTTTTAAAACCATAAATAATAAAAATAAACTCAAGAATTATCATGGCCAAATGATTTTTAAGCATTAAGCTGTTGTTCTTGGAATGCTAAAGCAGTGCTAGCAAACCATTTTTGGAAATATCAGAATCGCCGGGTTAATGTTCTATGTTTCAGGATCAGATATGGAAAAATCAAAGAAGGAAAAGAGAACAGGGGTGGTGTTTAGCAGACATCCCAAATCATGTTTGTTAACTGGGATTTGGGGATCGGGGGTACAGGGTAGAAGGCTGAGGAAAATGGACTATAAGTGGAGGAATTCAAATCATTTGAGGAAGTCTAAAATATATGAAATTAAACATTTCTTATTGCAAGATTTCCCAGAATCTTTAATATGTTAATATGTATCTTAAATCCTCAAAAAGGTGGTAAGGTATACAATTTGCAGTAGTATTGTAGGGAGCCTTCCTTAGGACATAAAAAATTTGAGTTCATAGACAATTCTCTTCAAACTCTAATTAAAAAGTGTCTGTACTTTTTAACAAACATTTGGAGGGGAGCAAAAAAGCTTTAACAAATAGCTAGGGGCTTAAGAGTCCTTTCTAAATTATCCAGATCTCTAGCTGACAGGGAATGTTCAAACTGATCTGCCAGTTCTTAGGAAGAAAAAAAGTCAAGACCCAACTCTAGTTGTCCAAGGTCTGTATTTTCCTTTCAAAAAGTTTGTGGTGAAAAAAACAAACAAAATACTTTATAATGCCTCTAGGAAAAAAGCATGAAGAAATAACATATAAGTAAATACTTCAGAAGTCAAAAAGAAAGCTGTATAATGAATTCAGGGTGTGGCTGTGGAAGGCAGCTGACTGGCTGCCAAGGGGCCCCTTACAACAGGCTGCCCGGCTCAGTCTGCCAAGGGGCAAGGCCTGGCCTGCAGCTGGCCCGGGGCGATCAAATGCTTTATTCTAAGGGAGTTCACAAGAGACTGATAAACAAGACACGATGGCAATTCACTGATTTACCCAACAAGAAATTGAGTAACAAGGAAGAGATCCCTGCACCTTCTTGCAAATGCATTCTATCCTTGTAGGCAAGCTAGATGTGAAGCCATGAGGATCAGATTGCTTGGGGAGCCTGGCATCAGAACAAAGAGAACTAACTGTTAGTCAATGTAAAGGTTTAATGGCATCAGGATAAGGTAAAATATGGAGGGAAGGAAGGAAGGAAGGAAGGGAGGGAGGGAGGGAGGGAGGGAGAGAGGGAGGGAGGGGAAACAGGCTAACTGCTGTCTAGCCCAGGGCAATTCTGCCCACTTTAAAGCATCTGCAGATGACCAGTTTTAAGCTCTGCTGCTGACTGGGCTTTCCCAGAAGGAAACAACATTGGGGAGCTACAGGAGGACAGACATACTACTGAGCAAAACTTTGGTGAAATTTTATGAAACATAAAATGTTAGTGAATTCAAAACAATTCCAAACATCGAGGATTTGTTTGCATTAACAAATCGGAAATAAATATGAAGTGGTTTTAGATAAGAATTTGTGAACCTGAGGTCTTTATAAAAGAGGGATAAACAGAAGATCAAGTTTCTCCCATCATAAGAGTACCATGTAATGCGTTCAACTCTCAAACCCAGAAGTGGATATCAGCAAAGAAGAACTTCCAGACACTTTATAGTTCAATCATGATCACTATATTCTTTCCATTCTAATTACACATACATGTAAGTGTGTGTGCCTTGTTTAAAAACCAAATCAGAGAAAACCCTATGTCTATACATCTTTGTATGAAAGTATTATAGCATCTGAACTACGAGACACAAAGTACTGAACACACAGTGGGCATTCTATAAATAAATGATGGTAACTGAACTTAAATTCAATAGACTTTTAATAATATGTGTTTCACATATAATAATTTCCCTTGGATTATAAACTACAGAATCATTTAGTGTTATATTAACCTTCAAAAACAAATTGTACTTGAGTGATACAATTGCAGAAAAGGCCAAAAATTCTACCCTTAGTCTTGACTAAGTAGTCTCTCTTAAAAATTAGATTTAAAATTAAGAAAATGTATTTCCTTCTAACCAGACACAAATAGGCTTTAAAAATTCAAATTAAACAAAACTAAGAATAGCAGTAACCAAATTATTACAAAGAATGATCTAGATGACTGGCACTTATTACACTGCAAATGTTTTCCTCTAATGGATTTAATACTGTTCTCTGTCTTTTATTAGAGCCCTTTCTTTAGCCAGAAAAAGAACAGGATACAATTTGCAAGTCTAGAATTCCTGGACTGATAAAAACAACAGTAGGTGCCCTTGAATTTCCTGTTCACATGTTTTCTCCAGACTCCCCTATTCATTAATGGAGACACTACCAATAGTTAAGTCCAACATTCTTTCATTTATCAAGCCTGGAAAAGGGAGATAACAAATTTGGCACTCAGACCACTTATAAATAGATGCGGTGTCTCCAGCCATTTACCATCAAACTTTTAAAGAACTGCTTTACCTGATGAG